GAAGGACAATAATTTAAGTGGTGCATGCCGACTTTGAATTGTAGGAAATATCTTGCTTGGGTGGCATATGCATTTGATGAAGTCTGTGCTTCCAAATGCTGTAACTACTTATGCATATCAACCCAGTGTAATCTTTTGTGGGGTTAAGAGCAGTAAATGTTCAACTTAGATTTTCCAGATTGTTTGGAGGTTTAAATCTTTAAAACCCTTTGGGTAGAGGTGAAGCAAGTGCATAGCTTGGGCTGTGTGCTGTGACCTGGAACAGGATCTTGCTGGAATACACTAGCATGGGTGGCCTTCAGGAAGGAAGGCAGATGTTTATTGATATGAGGGGAGTGCAAGGGGGAATAGAGGGAAGTTTAAAAATTAACAGGAAAAACCCTCAGCTTTATCACTCCAAATAAGACCTTTCAGCTGTGACTATCAGTAAGAAAATCAAGAGCAGACCGGCTGCAAACCATGTCAAAAACATACAAAGGGTAGAGATACTGGAGCATCTTAAAGTCTGACCAAAACAAATTTGCATGCCCGAAACTGCAGTACATTTGTACCACTGATATGCATAAGGTGAATGTTGTTGCTGTGCTGGTTGCACAGCAGTTGTGCAACCTACCAGTGATGGTGGGTGCTTGGAGACACCTCTCAGGTGGGTGTGGGGTTGGATACAGAATACCAGATCTTTTTTAATATGTGCTGGCAGAAGCTGAAGGGGTGGAGAAGGAGACTGATGAGGGCAAATCAACACTGGAAAAGTTTTGCTAAATGGAGAGTAATGTTAATATGTAAGAAACCAGAATACAGGCCCTGAGCAAGTTGGGCAGGACAGGACAGGCTCTATAGAGCCCAGCAAGCTCACTTGCTGACAGGGACTCCTTCAGAACCCTCCCTGCTCACACCCCTTTGCTGTTGCATCTGGTATCTCCATTTCACCCAGCGCTGCCAGGTTTCTCCTGCTCCCTGAGTCAGTGCAGGTTGCCAGTTGGAGCATTATCTGCCTGTGGGCTCTATTTGCTATGTTGGAGTTGCAGGGGGAAAAGTCCTTGGATATCCATCTCCAAGTCAGGGCTTCTGTGTGTTCCTTAGTTTCCATGCACCCCATCCCATCTGCCAGTCTCCCGTGCCAGAGGTCACCTTTTCCACCACTGCTCCCAGTATCCTGCAGACTCTCCCACAGCCAGTGGCTCTGGGAGCTCCTCCAGCCCCTTTGGCTTCTCCAGCAGCAATGCTGTGCATCTCTCCCACTGTCACCTCCCTAAGTATTCTCTCCTTTCTCTTCTCCCAACCTGCAGTGTAAGTTGTCTCTTCAAGGATGGGCAAGACTTGCAAAGCTGGGATAGCCAGACAGGATGAGAGGGATAGGGGATATTAATGACTTCCTTGGAGAACCCTGGAAGTTCGTGCTAACATGGAAGGGGTTGAATAAAAAAAATTAGGTCAGTGGATGTAGCCTCTGGTTTCTCATTTTCTTTTCAAGTTTTCAGCCAGTAAGAATGAAATGTTCCTCTAAAATCTGAGGACAGATCAGAAGTGATGCTGCAGCTTCACATACAGACAGGAAGACAATTACTGTTGAGCAGAGTACTAGGTCATGCTTTCCTTGCCTAAAATGTTTTGAATTTCTTTTCATGTAGCTGACAGATGCTCTTTACTTGCACTCAGCTCTTAAAACTGGCTACTTTCCATTTCACACAGAGCTATTATTAGCAGAAGCTTGGGAACAGATCAAATTTGATACACCATGAAAAATTGTGCAAATCCCTGTTTTTCTGTATAGGAAAGCTGAGGCACAGAGAGGCTCAGTGCTAAAGGTTAAGCAGTGAATTGTGTACCAGAACTAAAATTAAACATGAATTTCTCATTTCAGATTTTCTGCTTGCCTTTTAGCTCTTACAGCTGTTTTCCAGTGCTGGTAACTCCAGTGAGGTGGTTTTGGCTGTTTAAATCTAAGGTGTATGTGTTTTCTGTCATTGCCTCAACCTGTCATATTTAGCAAAACTGAGTTACTTGGACTACTCACAAAACCTGCAAAGGTTGATGTAAGATTAGTGTGGCTGCAAATCTTACAGGAATTATGTCCTTGTGCACAGCATTTTACTGAAAAGGCTGCTTTTCAGTCACTTGCAGGCTACAGATTTTTTTCAATATATGGTGAACCTCTTGAATAAAAAAGGTTTTCTGCAGCTAAGTGTATTACAAGAAATCTGTGTTCTTAGCAGAAAAGAGACACTATTCAAAACAATTATATTAGAATATAGGAGAAATAAAATTTAGAGAATAATATTTAAAATAATTTATCTTGTAAATCAAACTGACTGGAAAGGCATGTACAGGCTGTAACCCTAGATAGAAAATGTATTTCAGTCAGCTGAAATGTTAACAAATGTAATCATTGTGATTAAGTTTCTTGCACATTATTTGTCATTAATTTCAAAAAGTTTAATCTAAATTTTCATTTCTGGAATGGAACTTTCATATAGTGTCTGTGCTACTGTTTGCAATCAAGTCCTGCAATTGTAATGTCAATCTTGATAATATCTATCAATTTCAGATTACATTATCTGGGAGTTAGTAAGTCTGTATCTAAATGTCCTGTACTTGGTTTTGCTAAAGCTTCAGAACAGTGTTTAAGCACATATTTAAACACTCTAAAATACTGGTTGGACATCACAGTCAATAAAGTGTTATACGCAGTGTTTTGGAATGTATGTTGGTTTCTTTACGGGGCATTTATGCTATGTATGCACCATGTGTGAATAGTAAGAAACAGAGTCTAAGAAAACCTTCCTTAATGCACTGAGAATATTATCTGGTAGATATTAAAGAAGCTCTCTTCTAGTACACAGAAATTAGATGTAAGAAAAAAGTGGTTTTTCTAACAAAAGAGGTTTGTACAATAAAATATTCTAGTATGTTAGGACAGAATTCAGGTGGTTGGTACTGTCATGTATTTGGCAGAAGCTTCTTGTGGATTAATTTCTTCTGAAAATTCAGTTTTCTCATTGTTGTAACTACATAATTCTCATGTACAATTCTCAGCACTGTGTCATGAGCATTTAATCAATTTTCTGTTCTCCAGATATACAATGGTAGTGTGATGTTTGAGCTATGAGACCATGATAGTGTCCTTCAGAAAGCTTGGGTGTCAACTCATGTTGTAATTTAGATACTACAAAATAATGATTTTACAGAATGGAAAATTCAGATGTTGAAATCTCATTGACTTTCAGAGAAAAGTTGTGAACATAACTTCTTGTGCTTTTTTACAAACCTGGGTGTGGGTTCATGTACTTTTGCTTTCTTTCCCCCTTGCTCATATGATCCCTTCCTCGCGTTAGAACAATTGTTCTCACATGGGCTGGTCCTGAAGGGTGGTGAGTTGTTAATGGAATGGTGCATGTCATCTGCCTTAAACCATTTACAGTATTCTGGGGTAACTAGGGATAACTCCTCTAAAGTTGCTTTCCTGTTTTATGAAATGGGTGGCCTCCTAAGCCTGTCCAAATAAACAGAATTGAAAAAGAAAAATACTTGTTTTGATGTCTGGGTGTTGGAGATGTATGTACCAGTGCTTGTTTTTCTTTCCCTGGGCATGATGAAACAGTACATTGTAGCCACCTTATTTTTCTTGGCTGTGCTCCTTAGTTTCTCTTATGTAGATGCAAAATAATAAAAAAGAACTTGAGCCACATCATATCTGGGAACTTTTTGTTTAAAACATGTCCCAGTGCACAGATTGCACTGCACAGTTGAAAAAGAAGAATTAAAACTAGCTTAGTTGTATTGATATAAGGATAATAGGAATCAGTCTTACACTGAGATTTCCTTCAGGTCTTACATACCTTTTTGTCTTCCTTTTCTTTCAGGCATTGTTTTCACTCCAGTTGCTTTTGTTGAACCAATATTCAGTACAACATAGAAAGGGTTTGGTCAGCACACTTGACAAACAGGCAAACAGCTGCTGAAGGAAGAGGGACTTCCTGGGTTGCCTCCAGTTGGATTGGATCTGAGATGTTGTATGATTGAGATCAGTGTTGGAGTACCTGTACTTTTGTGGTTATGTCAGGCTTTCTTATCCTCGTGGTATTTTAAGCGTCATTCTCTGTATTTCTCAACTGTCGCTTATCAACTTAATCCAGCGCTCCTGGCTTCCTATTCATGTGCATTCAGGGCTTCTTCCATTGTGCTGTCAGATCTGTTTGGGCACTTGCACACTTAACAAGACTCAGAATGGATCCACCTGAAAGTAACCATTTATTTTGCTGAGTTGCTTTACCGATAGATCAGCCCTCTGGTCGAGTTCATTGCTTGGTAGCTCAAACATCCAGGCTGGCAGAACAGAGAGAGATCTAAGATGGAGAAGTTGTTCACACTGTGTGAAACAGTGCTGTTGCCAGGGAGGAAACCCATGTTCCTGCTCTGTCCTGAACTGCTTGTTTTACACGCTTTGAATCTGATGGACCAAAGACACATCTTGCTATTCTTCACCCAGAGCATTCAGTCTTGCTCAATGTTGACTAAAGGGAAGAGAATCCTGTAGGCACACAGTTTGTGGTAATTGGGAGTGGGGCTGTGGCTGAGCCTCATCCCCAATGGGCTACAGCTGGGAAAAGCAGGTGAGCAGCATTGAAAGCAATGGGACATGGAGTGCCCAGGTGTACTGACCAATCACCAAAGGGAACAGAAGTCATACAGGTGCAGTGCATGAATATTGAGGGTATAAAAGGTTCTGTTGAAGAACAAGAAAGAGCAGATGTCTGAAGTGGTGTGGTGTTGTTCTGTATGGGGTCAAGCCTTGTGGAACTGTATGGTGATGCTTTGTGGGTTTCTTATCCTGGGTGTCTCAGCTGTGATATATGCTGTGACTGAATCCTGGTTTATGTTTTTAAGATTCTGTTTCACTTGCTTCCCTGAAGAACTCTGGCCACTTTTTCGCTGTCCCTATAAAAGAAAGATGAAGTACTATCCAAGAAATTAAAGCTTCCTGCATTTGCTTTTTGCAGTGGAATCCAGCTACAGGTGATGAAGCAGAAGAGGAGCTGGGGGATGATATTGATGAATCTCCTTGGATGCAGTGTCTGAATTTTGTGGCAAGTGACATCGTGCTCAATGGCCGTGTTCTCCACTGGTTTCTCTTGTCCTGGTTTTTGGGTTTTTTACATTAGGAAGAACTGAAGGCTTAATAGCCTTTTGACACTAAAAGATATTTAGATCTGTAGGCTTGCTTTCTCTCAGTTCTATAATCATAATTGGAACTGAAGAACGAAGTAGATAAAGGGAATTGTCCAACATCAGAATTACATTTAATCATTCTGGTCTGTGAATAAGAGTTTAAAGATGTGATTAGAGTTTGAAATTACAGAAAGGCAAAAGAATAGAAGATGCATTTTAGTTGCTTACAATACATGGAATAAGAAGATGGAAGATTGTCTCAAATTTGATTCCATTCATTGCTCATCAGATAACATAGGAGTATTTGAGTTGATTTAAATAACGTTTTTCTTTTTTTTTAAGTGAGCATTTCTGAAACTAATGTATCCAACTGCACAAATTTTATGTGCAAATATCTTTTCCCGTGTCAGGCTGATCTCTGTGGAAAATGTAAACTTAAGATACGACAAATAAAACTATCATCCTTGAAGTACAATTTTTTCCGGATGAAAGAAATGAGTCATAGTTGGACTTGGTTATGTCAGATGTCTATTTCAACCTTAATGATTATATGGTACCAGAGGAGCATTATTTTTCATGTATTGTACTTGACGTACAAAACCTTCAGGTTTTATTTTACTTAAACATTTTTAGACACCTTGGTGTTTGACTAAGGAAAAATATCTGTGCAGGTAACCTGGCTTTATGCCTATTTGTAGTCCATTAAATGAGGCATTCTTATGTCATTTTTAAACAGCTGGTCTTTAGTGACTTCACAAGGACATGCACTTAACACTAGATACCTTTCAGTTGCATCCACTACATCTGTTTGTACTGTTGTGGCACAAATGTGGGTCTCATCTTCTTGGAAGGGTTTGGCATTTGCACTGTGAGGATCTCATTCCCTGAATTTCTCAATATAATGCACTGGCTTCTCAGACAAACCAAAAAGGGAGAAAAGTGTTTCATGCACAAGCTGGCAGATGTAATTTTGCTCATACTAACTGTGAAATGACACGTTATGTTTGTGATTTAATTTTTTTAGGGAATGAGTGGTTTTCAGTTTTTGTTCCTTTCTGAATTACCAGAACTATTATGTGTCTATCTAGAAGCATAAGTAAACATGCGGTTTTAAGAAAAATAGTGGCTGCCTAAGGTTATCCATACTGTTGAGAATTAATTTGAAGCAGTTCTGGCTTTCTCTATATCATGGCAATGAATTACTTCATGTTCAATTTGTGGTTCCTATACTCACAACTTTTGTTTTTCAGAATTTTTGCCCACTATGTATTTGTGCAATTAGCTCTCCCTGAGTGTAGTACTTTGAACTTACCATTTCTGAATTGCATCTTGTGTTTTTTCAAGGCCATTTTGAGGCCTGTTTATTGCCAGTGTGGTGCTTGCAATACTGCTCAGCATATTTTCATTTGAAAGGTGTTTTTGCTACCTTAGCAGCCAAGAAATTAATGGAAACAGAATAAGATCCATGCACCTGTGTAAGAGGAACTCTATGTAGGTACTCTTAGTGTATGAAATTACTTAGAGGAACCTAGTGAAAATTACTCTTTCAATAGTTTTCCAACTTTTTTTTTGGTCAGCATACAATATCTGTACTTGGACAATAGTCAGGTGTTTGATTATGAACATGTTGCGAGACAGTACCAAAAAATTTGATTAAAGCAATGACTGTGTCATCCTCCAAGGTATCTCCTACACCCACAGGCAATTTTACCTTCTAACCATCTTAAGAAAGAAATATTTCCTATAGGCTTGTTTTTCAGTTCAGCAGGCTATCTATTGAAAATAGAAGTGTTGGCAGAAGCAGGTTTTGCTAGAATGAATAAAATATAAAGATTTCTTAAAAAATATATATTTTTGATTTTTGAAAAATATTAGGAACCAAATAATTGGGTAAATAAAATTCTTGTGCATGACCTAGCCTGCCTTCAAGGCTGGTGATGCTTTAAAATCCAGATCTCTCTTGCAATTAGATACTTTGAACTTCGAGGTTTCTAAGATGAGAATACTGGTTGTTTCCTAAGAAACTGGAAGGAAGTTAGAGTTTAATGAGTGTGTCTGGATTACAGGAAGTAACAAGAAAAGACTAAGTAACCATAAATTCCCTGCTTTAGAGGCATCTTGGAAGATTTTGAGTAAAGATATAGTTCGTGACAGCTCCAGAATTTTATTTTTCCTGCTTTGTGGTTTTGGTTTTTTTTAAATTTCAGTTTGTAGAAGCAGTAGATAGTCAGTACGTCTGATGTCAGGTAGCTATGTGAGGAATAACTAACTTCAATGCAAAACCTGTTAGTTGAACTTAATATAACCTGCAGTACTGATTAAGCCATGAAATGTCAGTGTCAAGACATTTCTCTCCTTGAGTGAATAGTTGATCTCTCTTTTAGCTTGGTGGCAGCAGTAAATGTCATTGTGGAAACCCGTCCTTTGTAAACAAAGTCTCTTCATGATGACAAGCAGTTTCAGCTCCTACCTCAGAACAAATACTCTGACTCTGTATTTCCTTTTATTTCTTTTCTTTTTAAACACCTCTACAGTGTCATGCTGATAGATTCACAGTTAGCTCTTTGTGACTTTTCATGAGGTGAAAAACATTTTGAACATTTTCATTTGCTGTACTTTTAGAATATTAGATCCTTGTGTCTCCTCTTCCACTGAAAATCCTTTGCCAGAAGGCCTTGATTTGATTCTAAAGCAGTGCAGGATTGTGGGCTTGGTCTTACAAAACCCAACAAGATCTGTTTCACAGAATAGTTTTGATTTCTGCAAAGCTTGTTTGACAGTAAAATTGGAGGTTGCTTAAGGCTTTTGCTGTCTTGGTGCAGCACAGTTGCAACATTTCCTTGGAGTAAGACTAATTTTTATAGCTACAGTTTACTTGAATGCGATAAAAACTATCAGAAGTCTTAAAAGCACAGCCTGTGATGAAAGAAAATGAGAGAGGGTTTATTTAGCTTGGAGAAGAAAAGACTGGGGGGAAATGTGCTGGTCTTCAAATATATTGAAAGTCACTTCAAAGAGAGAGAGGGACAAGCCTTTGTTTGCATCATTCTTCCTGGTTTTTGAACGTAGCCTAGCTAGGTCACATAGATTTATATTATTTCTGGGGTGCTATGAAGTTATTTGTTGTGTGTTGGTCCCTGAGCTAGTAGAATGATTGGAGAGTGCTGTAGGAAAGTACTGTAGCTGTATTCATAAGGTGTATGTTCAGGTGTGTCACAGTCATATTTTCTGGAAAAATCCCTTTGCCCAGGATTTCTCTCCTGGGAAGCTGAGAAGCCTCAGAAAAAGGAAAACAACAATTATCTCATTGCTTCACCTGTGTTTTGCTCCTTTGTAATGTGTTTGGGGATTGTTTATCCAACCAACAGGTTGATTGGTTGGTTTCATGTGAATTGTTTTGACTTATTGGCCAATCAAGGTCAAGCTGTGTCAGGGCTCTGGAAAGAGTCACGAGTTTTCATTATCTTTTTAGCCTTCTGTAAGTATTCTGTCTGTATTCTTTAGTCTAGTTTAGTGTAGTATTCTTTATATAATATAGTATATTAAAATAATAAATTAGCCTTCTGAGCACATGGAGTCAAATTCATCATTCCTTCCTCTGTCTGGGGAACCCCGCAAATACAATACAGGTGAAAGTGTCCAGCTTGTTCTAGAACACATTTGATGGCTGTTGGAGACATGGCAAAAATTGCTGCTGAAATTTTGCACAGCTGATTAGTAGTAATCATCTTTATTCCTAAAATAAAGAATGAGGTAGCAGAGGGGGACTGATAGCCTTTGCCAAGAGCTGGGTGAGGAAAATCTTCCTGTTGGGAGCTCCCCTCTGATACTTTTCCTCAGGTTCTAGGAGGTAGAAGCATATGTGTCTCCTTTAGCCTGCTGGCCCTCATTCAGTGATCTAAGAGTTTTTATTCTGGTTAAAAATTCTAAGACAGTAGGTAAATTACAGAACCCTGTAGGACTTACACCCTGCCTCTCTGTTTACTGCTATTTCTCCTCATGAACCTTGAGGGTCTGTCCAGGTCTAGAGCAAATTTGGGGGAGAATTCCCCACAGGAGCTCCAGTGGTAAAACATATCCAAATCGGCCCCTGCCCCCAACTGGTCCGGGAGAAAAAAAATACCTCCTTGGAGAAAGGTGGAAAAAACTTTTTAAACAATAAAACCGAAACAATGTCAAACAATAAAATCCCTTGCCTCTCCAAAAGAGATGACAAACTGAGGAAGTCCCTCCCTGGGTTGCAGCTCAGCTCACTCAGTCTCTGGTGAGTCCCTCAGTGCTGGAATTGTCGCAGGCCTGGCCTGGCCCGGTGGGCGTCAGGTGCAGCTGCCGGTGCTCTCCTGGGTGCTCAGTCCAGAGCAGTTTCAAGACGTCCAAAGAAAAGGAAAAAAACCAGTCCAGGGAACTTCTTTGCCTCAGCTAGCTAACACTAACTAAAAAGCAAAAGAAGAGCTCTGTCCCGCTGTCTGTCTGCAGACAACAGAGTCAGGAGCAGGAATGTGGAGGAGTGGAGTACAGTGTCTGAAAACAAACTGTGCGCTTTTTCTCTCCCCCCCTTCACTCTCTGGAACACTCTTAAAGGGGCAAAACTTATTATTCAACATAAACAGAATGAGATGACTGGGGATAAAAGCATCATATAGTCAACCCAGGACAGGGTCCCAGAGTTAGCAGTCAAATAACTACAATAGCATGTTCAAAGTTAGCAGGGTTGAGGTTTTTTAATTTGGTTTTTGACACTTTTTTATTGTTGTTGGGTTTGGGGGTTTTTTTTGGCTTGTTTTTATTTTTTTTGAAAGTCATATATTTTTAAATGCATATTCTGTATGTTCTGATAGAGCTTCAGCAATTTTTTTTTTCAACCCAGCATCTATTTCCAAAGTATCTGCACTCTGAAATCTGCAATCACCATCATGTTGCCCATGCATTTAACCCAGTAGGGCTTCTCACTGATTAGTCATTTGGTAGATGTCCAGCATCATGCCAGAGTTAGAGACCTACAGGGTTTAGGGGAAGCCTTCCCTTACTAGATATATTTACAGAAAGAAGCAGTGAGCCTTTCTTAAAATCCCAAATAATTTCCATGCAGTGCAAAGGTTGCAATTCTGTATATATATTGTAGGCAATTTTTGGTGTTCAGACACCTGCCATAGATTCAGGTATGGTTTCCCAGCAAGCTTAAGACCATGCTGCAGCTCAAAATAATGGTCCTACCTGCAATATATTGATGAGTTTTCATGTGGGTCATCTGGTTGTTCTGAGTTGGCCCCTGGCTGGGTGAGTGCTAAAGGCAACAGAAAGGCAGGAGTAGGCATGGAGGGAGGAGCTGGTGTCACCTTTGGAGGACAGAATCCATGGCTTGTCACGGTGGCTCAGTGTGAAACTTCAGGACCAGGCTTAGGTCAGACAGCAGGATCTTTGCCAGTATTATGTGTTTTCAC